ATTATTGTGAAGGAGACTATTGAACCAAGTAAATAGGTTCAAATACATGAAATTAAATTTTAAAACTCAAGAGGCTAAGACTAAGGTCTTAAAAAAATGAAATAAAATGAAATAAAAACTTAGGTGTTAGAGTATGAGTGAAAATTGTGTTAATAATATTATTGACACATTAGGATATGATCAATTGTAGATTAATTTTCTTTTGACACCATTCAAGTTTTGAAAAGTTTTGGAAGTGTTGTAACTTGAGGGGTAACTTTTGATCTCTCAAAGGTTGAGATAACCAGGAAAAATCTATTTTATACATTTGTATGTTGATTAATTAATTATGTTGGTGAAACAAAAGAATATATATATCTAAATTTTGAAATGGTTGTTTATAATGCATGTGGCTTTGTTGAGACCCTATAATTTGTGACCAACTTAATTGTGACTTGATGTTAGTAATGAGATTGATGGTTGATGATGTGGTGTACACTCTTGATTATAAATTGTGGATTATATATAGTGATGAATTGTATATGAACATGTTGAGTTTTATATGTTGCTAATATGGTTTATGAATATAAAATTGATGCAAGAGGCATGATTGAAAAATGATGATTCTTGATACTTATTGAGCAAGAAAGTTGATGAGCATGTGGGATAATTGTGAATTATATATATACGAGCTTTTGAAATGCATTTTCTCATGAGCATGATCATATGGCGAGAGTTCGCCTTAGTGAAGAAGTTAGTGGTTCTGCAAAATCTATATGGTACTTGGCTATTAACCAATAATCCTAGAGGTTATAGCCACCATTTACCTTATAAGGTATTGTAGCATTGTTCCTATTAAGGGATTTGACTCTACTGGTCTATCTGAAATTTTGGGTAAAGCTAGTTTTGGATATGACAACCCATAGTGTGTGATGTAGGGAAAACCGTGTTCATAAATGAGTAAGGTAACCCTAACCCGGTAGCCCATCACGATATGATTAAGGCCTTGGGTAGTCTCATCATATGGACGATTCCTTTCGGTTGTTGGCCCACGGATTTCATGTTAGAGGAAATAATGGGGGATATAAGGAAGATATTGTTATGCATATTATTATTATCATGCCATTTGAGTGATTGATGAGTATATCGAGAATATGATTATAATTGTAGAAATGAGAATATGTAATAATTATGCGAATAATGTATATATGGCCATTTGTGCAAATTTTGTACTTGACTTTATTCTTGAGATTGTTCACATTAGTTAGATGTTAATGTGATTAACATGTAATTAATGTGATTGTTTACATGGTCACCTTGATAAATTTATTAGCCACTTGCATTCATGATTAATTATCATGCATTTGTATAACTTAGATGTATCTTGATTACTGAGTGGTTGTACTCACCCCTCTCTTTTAACATATTACAGGAGCTAACTCATCTTAAAAGAACAGAGAAAAGGAGCATTAGGCCAAGTGATAATAATCACTTCTGTAAGCTTTTTTCTTTTTATTTTGATATGCGTATTTAGTTTATAATATTGCCAACTAGGATAATATATTATTGATCTACTTGCATTATGGGTTTTGTGTTGGGTGGAAATATATTTTGGGTCTTTGAGAATGTAGTTTGATGCTTGTGCTATATTAATGGGTCAAAATATTTGTGCAAGTAGAAATAGTTAATATCTGCTTAGATTGAGAACTTAAATATTGTTATGGTCTCCCCTTGTGTTTTGGATGTCCAAGGGTAAGCAGTTGATATTAATTATATGTAAATAAAAAGGAAAAATTCATGCATATGATGTGCTGTTGATGAATAGATGATATATAGAGTATGATGATTAGATAATAGTTATTATGATAAATGTGATTGAGACCTTGGCCCTTCGCTGCTAGTTATGGAAGGGTTTGAGTGGTCAAGTATTATGATATAAATATGTATATATTTATTGTTGAATAAGGCATAAAGAAAAAATAAAGGGGGAAGCTTTTCTCTCATGTTGATGTGTTTTCTTTATCATGCTCCGGCATATGTCTAATTGAATGATATGAGTTCTTGAAATATTTTAAAAATTTGAGATCCTTTTATATTGAATCGTTTGTGAAAATACATATTAAGAATTTATTTAAGTTAATCTTTTATAGGATAATTTTTTTAAGTTAGTCCTTAATTTAATATAGTTAGTCTGATGATTAAGTCCTAATTTATGACACCTTTTACAACTTGCAACTGAAAAGCAAACAAAAAATATTAGGAACTTGGAATCCAAGAACGGATGTTAATCTCAGTCGTGTAAACAAGTTCGTAGATATGATCTATAATTGTACACAAGTTCGCCGATATCTTCAAGTCAAGAAAACAACCAACCGGCGTGCTCAACAGTTCTCTCTGATTCACAAATTTCATGGTCATTCCCACCCTGATCAGAGAAGAAGTTAACATGAAAGCTAGCAGGCGCTAGAGGATAATAGAAAACTCGAGGCTACTCCATGCGTAAGAGATCTTGGAATCTATCACAATGGTGAAGAATAAAAAAGCACGTGAAACAAGTCATGGAAAATTAGATATCGGAAGATAGCTTAGGCTTTGAGAATGAAATTGCCTCAATTTTGTGTTCTTATTAGACGTTCCTTTGAAGAAAGAAATAAAAGATGAGGGGAACTTCTTTTTGCAGCATACTTCATCAGAAGATTTAAAAGTAAGAAAAAAGGATTCTGGGCAATCTCAAGAATGGGTACTACCCATTATGGTCATTCCATCAGTAGACTGACCTATCATTATCAGCAGAGGCTGCTAGCAAATGCAGATTGATTGGATATCAAAATGACCTAGCCTATGTTTCAATGGAGGCAGAAAATGGACGATCAATTCATCAGTGATGATGTGATCGATTCGATACGAACAATTTGAATACACAATAAATTTATTGATGACCTTGTAGGTTTTGTCACCAAAGAAGTGGATTTCATCGAAGCCATCAAGGTATCTCAAGCAGTAAGTTTTATCCCAACCTTGAGGGAAAACCTGCAGAGTGGATTCAGATTAAAAACTGTTGGCCAATCATTTGACAGATAAAGGTCATAACATCATCATGACAGTTCAGTCACGCAGATAAAAACTTATCTGTCCTCCAATCGAGAATGTTAAGTTCAGACGAGCAAACTTCTCACGTAGGACAGAACCATTTTTGGGCGTATATTGTGAATCTGAGAACTCAAGATGCAAACTCTCAGAAAAAGATATATACCCAGCGTAATATCAATTCATGAAAACGATCAACACAAGATAATATTAAAAATACACCACCTTGTCGTACTTTCCAAATTCATCTTTTTCTTCTTGGCTACAGTTTCGACCAATTGGTGAAACATTCAGCATTCCATTGCTCAATTCTATAACTGTTCCCCTAAAGATATTATTATGTCATGCATATCACGAGCTTCTTGTATGTTGAACCAATATGAAAATTATGTGATCAGCCTCTAGATCCACTAACCTCTTGATAGGAATATCCAAGTCAGCAATGTAATGAAGTGCAAAATTTATAAATTCCTGCAAAATACTATTTAAAATAACTTATGTTGTAACATACATATCAAACCCAATTATTACATGAAACTATATTCTAATTATGTTTAAATGTGTTTTTACTGCCCAATTTTTGAAATATCTGCTTATAAAAGGCAATGCTTGCCACATGCTTTTGAGGAGCCAAAAAGATGGGCTTTCTCTCATCCTCTCTCATTGCTTCATCAATGCTGGTATTACCTTAGTTATTCTAAGAATTTTTGTTATTTTGTGTCTCTATTTATTTGCAGGAAGACTTTGTTTAATTTCAGGGAGCTGCTGCACAATCAATCTAGTATGACAAAATATCTTTTAAGATTGTTAAGCAATGATAAATATGAACACCAATAGCACCAAATTTGCCCTAAATTTTGGACTCACTTAAGACCTCATGGGCATATTATTTTAAATGTAAGTCCTAGGATGAATACCACAATGGTAATGGAAGAACTACTCACATTGATAACTAGGCACACCATCTCTGGTGTTGTGGAGATTCAAATTAATGGCAAGCCCAATGAAATAGATATGTGGATATATTGTTGTTGAATTTGTTGCCCAAAGACTATTTCGACTGTCTTGGTTTTTTGCCTTGTTAGTTTGTGGGTATTCCTAGAGTACTCAAATTATGTGGTTTGGTCCCTTTGTTAGTTGCTTCAACGGGTAAAACTATAAAACCTTGAACTCTACATATCACCATTAAACATAAATCTGCATTGATTAAGGATAATTAACCTTAAAAAAGGGGGCGTGAAACACTGAGATTTGACTCCAAGTAACTAAAATGTGGAATCATCCATTTGCTCATGGACTATATATATGATTGTGTTTGATGTTTAATAATATATGGAAAAAAAAAAATTGGGTGAGAGCATCACAGTGGAGATAGCGATTGACGTTGGCTATGTTGAGGTTGTAATAATATTGCTTTGACTATTATTCATTTAAAGTTTTAAATTGATTAAGCTTTAATAGTAATGAATGTATAAATAAATGCCATTATTTTTAATCTGCAATTGTAAGTTTAAAGATGATCAAGGCATGTTATTTGAATATATTGGGCCTGAACGTGATTTGTTCCTATATCATGTATGGGATTTGAATTCTTTTCATACTCTCTCAAAATATATCTCTTCATATTTAATTTCAATCATTTATTTAATTATATTTTTAATTCAACGGTGTGAGATTGCTAATTATAACATGAAAATAGATATTATATTTATTTAATGGTTATATTAATAAGCATTATAGTTTTATTTTCAAAAATATTATTTAAGTGATAATAGTAAATAATTTATTTATTTTAATATCATAATTAATAATCTCACACTGTAAAATTAAAGTAATAGTTAAATAAATAATTAAGATTAGATATGAAAAGATGTATTGTGAAAAAATATGAAAAAAAATTCAGATCCCCACGTGTTAGTTTCCCCAGTGGAAATGCTCTCGCTGGGTTGCCGCGCTGTGCTTGGAAAGAAACCCACAAACCTAACAAAACAGAGTAGCAAGCCGATAGAGGAGGGGAAAAAGCTGCAGAGATGGTTGCTCCTACCCAAATAGCTGATCACAGTGAAGTCATTCATCCACCACACGATCTGAATGCCAAATGGGACGCTTGCCTTGATTTTTCTATCCGTCGCTTCCTCCATTCTTCGTTAGCCGGTGCCTTTGGTGGTCTCCTCTTTTTCAGTTAGCTCCTTCTCCTTATCCCTGATTTCATCATTCTCTTTTTTCTTCATTCTCCTTCTGCGAGGCTATTGTGAATTCTGGCCTATTGGTAATCCTCAGTCTCCTGGTGGTTTTGAGGTTAAGTCTGTTTTTCATTTCCCATTCTCCAATTCTTTCGCGGGCGTGTTTGTGGCGTTCTAGCACTATGAAACATGACAATTTTGTATGTGACGTTCGCCTTTTCTGCTATTTTTTGTTGGATAATTCAGTTTGAGTTATCGTTTTGCTTGCCTACTAGATTTCCTCAGTTTATTTTTTTTTTCCTGAAATAGGCTACTTCATTTCATTTATAAATCAAGTTGGTAGAAGCTGAGAAAGAAATTAGTTACTTTGTTTTTAAGTTCCTTTTTTTTCGTCTTGCCTAGTTGAATGCTACAATTTAGGATTGGGTTAATTCCTGTTCATAAAAAATTCAGGGACATGGCAGTTTTGGCTGAATTTCGTTTAAAATTAGATTGGCCTGACTGCACCTTCACTATGTGAAAATCCACTTAAACTGAAATAAAAGAATACGATCCAATATTAAAATTCACAAGGATATAATGAACGACTACATGCAAAAGGGCCACACTTGTCGGTGTTGTTAGGTTCTGATTCTGGAGAAGTGCCATAATCGTTTATTTGATAGAACATTTTTATGTATCAGGCTAACCCCGACTAGATGTTTAATCACTCTATGAGATCAAGTCAAGATGAAAAGGAGCCCCTCACAATCATTTTACTGTAGATAAATGCTAGCGTTTGAATTAAGGAGTACTGTTTAACATTGTTGAGTTACCTTTTGATGATCATTTTCTTCCTCTGAGGTCATTGAGCATGTTTATTAGAATATATGAGCCAATGTTTAAAAAAGAAAAAGAAAAACAGTGGGTGAGGGGTTTCAAAATCAGTTCTATCTGTTGTGGCTCATATCAAAGAACAGATGTGAAAAGGCACACTTGAGGCTTTAGATCCTGCCCTTAGCACCTTAAGGTGAGAGCTGCTATAACAGCCCTTGCCTGTGACAAAAAATGCTAAATTATTGGGGGGGGGGTGTCGGGAGCTGGAAATATGCTGTACATATGGAAGATAAATGAATATGACCTAATTTAATATATTTGACACAGAAGCTAAATATTCAAGCATAATAATAAAAAAAGAGAAGTTTAGAACGTTGAAAAGTTAGAGAGAGAAGGGTTGGCTGAATTGTGAGTGCATAACAGATTAACAGAGTTAAATAAAATAGAAAGAAGGGAGCCAGAGATGAAGAAATGAAGAAGAGTGGTTCTTTGAAAGAGAAGGTTAGCAGTGGTGATTTGAGGGAACGCTGTTTACTGTCTCTCATGGACCTTGGTGCTTCCTGGTGGTCCAAGGCTATTATCTAGCTTGTCTTTGTCAATAAGATCCTAAACAACCATCAGGCTGAATAATAGTCTTTCAAAACAATGACCATGTTTTGTTATTATCTTATGTTTGAAATATTAAACTTGATAGTTATGGGTTATTGTGTAGGCTTTAAGTGTTGTATCTCTTTAAAATATACCCAGAGCATAAGGGAGCATTGAAGCCTCCTGGTGTGGATGCCTCTTGCTTTTGACAACACAATTATGATCATTTCCTTAGCACCATCTGTCTTTACAGGCATTTGTTCCACGTATAATGAATTTTAATTGGTTTGATTTGACCACAGCAAGGCAAGATATTGATATCAAATTCATCTGGCTATTATTGTACTAGGGAGTCCTGGGACTCGCTGGGCATCATTAGCTTTTGGTGCTGGAGTGGGAATCGGATCTGCATATGCAGAATGTTCTTATCTGTTCAATGGATCATCTACCAAGCTAGTGTTGCCTAAGATCTCAGATCAGGTAGGATTTTCTTATTATCTCTTACTGTATGCTTTGGGTGAGCTTATGTCAACAGCTGTAACCATTACTTTGTTGACATTTTAGTAAAATTTTGAATAAGTTTCTTTTCTTTCTCCTATCTTTTCTTTTTACTATCAAAGATAATAGTCAAAACCGCTGCAAGAAGTATTTAATTCCCGTAGCTCATGCAAATGAATCCTTTGTAGGGTCTTGTAATGTTGCATCAACACAAATTTTTAGTACTTGGGATTGATGCTGGTGAAAACTGATAATAAATTAGTGATGAAGGCAAGTTTGTGGCTCAATAATGCTGTCCGTGAAAATTCTTTGAATATTAGAGAGTTAGGTAAATGAGGAAGAAAGCAAAGGCTAGCAAGATTACTTATAATATGTTGGGAACTCTCATGTTTTTGAGAAATAAATCTTCTTTGTGGATGGATTTGCAGTAAAGTCCATATGGATTCCGGATTTAAGTGTTGAGGGTGTTTTCCTTGGTTTAGGTGGAATGTTGGTTGTTTGGCACAAGGGGGCGGTTCCTAATATTAATAGGTCCTGTTATGGTATTTATTTCGTTCAATCTTGATTGATGTTAAAAGTAAGGCGCAGTAGTAGTGATTAGCGTGAGGTAAAGGACTTTAGGTCTTGGTGACCAGGACTTTAGACCTTGGTGACCAGTAGAAACTCAAAATTAACGATCCTCCGAACTTTGATTAATTGAATGGCAACTGTGGACATGTATATAAAATAAAAGGAGAGCAGACTCCTACTCCAACTAGAATATGTCACTTGAAGTGGGATAATTCTGTCCTAATCAAAATAGAAAACTAGCAAGCTGGGTTAAACCAATTTGATTTTTCTTAAAATAGTGTGATGGCTAAGTTAAATAGTATGTATCACTGTCATCAACTAGCAAGCTGGGCTTCTAGTTTTATGGTCTCTCTGGTCTCATATATAATAAACTTTTTTCAGGCTTGGTTTGGTCTCAAATATAAAAAGCAAGCAAGTAATCTCTGGTTCATTAATTGCAGCATATTCTGCCCTCCATTAACATAGCAGTGTTGTGTTCACGTGCCACCATTTATTTTTCATATGCATGTTGAGTGGTAATTTAAATAGAGGCATTGTTGGAAAATACTCTTTCTGTCCCTATATATAAGAGGTTTTTCAGAACCTTTTTTTTCCTCTAAATATAAGAGGTTATTAGCATGTTTTTTAATAAATGGACTATTATACCTTATTAAATTGGAAAGAAAAAAAGATAAGTACTCTCATTAATTTACTTTTGAAAAAGAGATTCATTTTTTATTTACAATAATTAGGGGCAAAATTAGAATATTGCTGTGCTTTTAATGAGATAATTAACTTTTATTAGTTTGCGTGATTCAATTAAAAACATCTTATATATATGGATGGAGGAAATACTTTTTATTTGGGACAAAATCAAGAACTTCAACTGCTTTTAGACAACTTATATTGATTCACGTATTATTTGTTTATTACATGAGGCTGGAGGGAGTATCTTTTTTTTAGTCCCATCTAATCCTATTGTTATAAATAGATTCTGGTTCAAACTTAGGACTTCTGTTCTTAGATCTAAACCTGGAAGTAAAGGAGATAAATGATAAATCATAGCCAACGTTTTTCTCTTATTTCGAAAAGAAAAAATTTAGAAGAGGTATTACTGAAACCACTTCTGAACCTTCTTATGGCTTAATCTTGTTGGGTGGACTTGCAAATAGTATTGAACCTTTCTTACCAAGTGGTCTAGAGTTTTCTTTTTCTTATTCCAATTCGTAATGAAATTTCAGTGCACCCAAAAGAAAATGTTAGCGCAAGGAACCACGGACTTGTGCTTGCCTCACACTTCATTTGCAAAGGACATTCATGTGAGGGGGTTTGGTAGAGATATTTATGTAGCCATTGTTGATGTCGTTTCTAATATCTTGCGCTTGTGAAGTGCATCTTTCAAAGGATTGTCATTATTCATTTTATAGTCAAACTGAATTGATAAAAATAATGTATTAAGTATATTAGACTTGTACATTTAGTTTGCTTTTCTGGCTATCACCAATCATTAGAACCAAAGACAACAGTGAGGCAAGCTTTTATTTATTTATTATTATTTTACAACACGGTGAGGCAAGTTTTTCATTACATTTCTTTCCTCTCTATTTAAGCTCTTTTTTGTCAATTACATCCTAACCTCCTCCGAACTACTAAACATAGACCTATGAAAATGCCTTCTTTTATCGACTGATAAAAATTTAATTTTCTCATCATTTAGCTTGCACGTGACATTTTCTTTATGCATGTCCTTGATTCTGTGTATTCTAAAATTTTGTCATGTTTTTACTTGGTGGGCAATGGATCCTGTGCTTGTCACAAGCTAACAACCAGTGCCCTCTCGCAGTAATTTGGAAATTACGTTTAAGGGCTCAGATCTTGAAAAGTTAGTTATGCGATCCTAAAAATCATAATTATTTTTAAGGATTAAAGTCAATAAGTTTTATGGGACTTATAATTAAGTTTTAGGAAAATCTATATCTATCTGTATATCATATAAATCTAGAGCAAGTTGCATGTTCATTTGACATGAATAGTATGACTTACGTGGAGCTTATTTGTGTCCCATTCTAGTTATTACTAAATTTTAAGAATGTTACAGTTCTAAGTACTAGTGTGGATGTTGTGTGTTATAACTCGTAAGGAGTTTGAAAAAATGATTCATAGCTCATGAAGGATGCGATTTGTTGTTTCATTGCATATATATTTTCTTAAGATTTAGTAATTTTTCATTGTACAATGGCATTGTACAATCCATATAGCCGACCCCATTTAGTAGGATAAAGCTTATTGCTGCTGCTGCTGTTGTTTAGTAATTTTTCTTAAAGCCTTTCCTAAAAGCTGATAATAGTGTTGGTCGTTCCAAATAATGACATATTTTAATGTTGTTTAGCTCAATGTTGTTATGATCTGAGTTCTTAGAGCTATTATTTTTCCAATACAAAAGATGAAAAAAAGATCGATTATCGAATATTCATTGTTTGGGGAACCAACCAGCCAATGTCAGACTGATAATTTAGCTCATTATCTTGCAGCACACATTTATTCAGGAATTGGATCAGATTCAGGAACGAGAGTAGTTTTTTGTTTCCAGAACGTGCAAGGCTCGGGTTAGTTAGAGTGATACTGGTGGCTGTTGAAACTGAATTTTCTCAGAGATAATTGGTGGGATTTAGATTCACCCTGTTTTGTATGTAGTTCTACCTTGATTCCATAAACGAAAGCCGCACATCATTGATGCAGCTTTGATTCACAATCATCATTACCCTGTATTTTCCCCTCCTGTGAACTCCTGCAATGTCATGATTCATGTCTGGCAGAAAGAAATAAATTGCTTTTCACAAGGCTAGTTTTTCCTTCTCCCCTGCCTCATTGAGCACTTGCAATATTCAAGAGTTCCTAAGGAATTTTCGTACTTCTGCAATAAGTCATCTTATCGTTGATAAGAAGGGAAAAAAACATCATTTTTATCGATTTGAACGATGATGCTATTCCAGTGCGTATGGTTCTAATTTATCCAAAAAAATAGAAAAAAAAAAGCTCAGGATGTGACAAAAATATTATTATACATGATTAAGTTCAAGATTTCCCTTTGTGTTACCGTGATGTGATACTTCATGCTAATTTTATATTTTGATTAAGTAAACTGAAACGAAGTCGAGATAGTGTGAAATAGACCAACTTAACACCCAATACAACCCTTGTATATTTTCAGATGCCAGAATTTGAAAGCTTGAGGACACAAAGTCGTAGGATGACCCCCAGTCAAGTTGGGCATGGAAAAGGAAGGAATGAGAATTAGCTCTGGAGCGTAAGGAGTGACAAAGTAACTTGGAAAACTCAATTGGATTCATGCCACAATCAATAATAGCGGCCCGCAGACCACTTTGAGATTTAACCATTGAGATTTAAGAGGATTATTTAAAGAATATTGCGCTACATATGCGTTTTTTACTTTTCTTTTGTTCTTGTTGATTACATTTATCACGAATTCCTTTATATTTTTTTCTCAACTATTTTTTTGTCTCTCGTTACGGGTATCTCTAAAGACAAAATCTTGATATTTCCAAAGTCAGGAATGTTAGTTATTAAAAAAAAAAAAGTTGAAAAAGGAGCCTTAAACTAATGAGAAGGAGGAGGAGGAGAATGGAATGATAAGAATGAAAGAATAGTTATTGCTGAATTTTTTGTTTGAATAGAGGATTCACCTCAGAAACATGGTGACCAAAAATGTGAGACGGCGAATGAGAAACTGGAAACAGAACCAAAAACGGAAGAAAGGAACGAGACCAGTCGGCCACCAAAAAAAAAAAAAAAAAACAAGAAGAAGAAGCGAAAAAAAGCATATACGTATAAGGAGTGTTTTGGGGAAGGATCTAAGAGTGATGCTGTTCTTCTTCAGGGTCATCTTTGGGGTCGTCCTTCTTGTCGTCCTCGTGATGAGGGCTAGGGGCATCGTCTTCAGTGGCAGGTTCAGGAGGAGGAGTGCCAGAGCTGGCACTGCGCTTGTGGGCGGCAGCTTGGAGGACATGGTTGTAATTTCCTTTCTCCATGAATAGCTGAGCAAAGTGGTGCCTGCAATACAGGACGCCGTCCAGGGCGGCGTAGGACGAATGGGTCAGAGGGCACCCCGCATGAGCACACCTGAAGCACGACTTGTGGAAGCACTCTCCTTCCAGCGTCATCTGCACATCAACATTCCATCAGTACGCATCCATGCATGCATGCACGCATCTGCTTCCTCATTATTCAATCATACAAATGTATAACACAACCTTCTCCAGAGGATACACTGTCTTTCCACACACGGAGCACTTGTCCTGGGTCCCACTGAACATGGAAGACAGCTTGCTTGAAGTTCTGGACTGTAAACATCAAAACACGCGCCCCATATTTCAGTCCCTCTATATGCTAATTAAGGACGCATGGTCACAATTAATGAACACGCATACGTGAGAGGGATGGCCACTAGTACATACCAGATCATTCTTCTCAACGGACCTTGCTGCCAAATTTCGTTTTCACCGCACAACATACTTCGTTAGACACCTGAGCTTCCGATTGAACAATCCAAGAAACGAGAGAGATGGCACGTATTACCTGACTGAAAGTTCTTGCTGAAATTGCCAGATTCCTTGAAAAGCTGCTCAAAATGGGGTTTGCAGTAGAGGACGCCATCCATCCAGGAGTAGCTGCTCATCTGATCATCATCCAATCATTTTGTCATTTCAAACTTAAACTTGAAGACATGTGATTACAATTTACAAACGTGATAATTATTCTAAGAATATATGCATAAAGGAAGAGAAGAATTAATGTGTGGGGAATATTAAGCATACCGAAAGAAATCCCTTGCAGTGGCTGCACTTGAAGCACGATTTATGGTAAGGAGTACCTTCAAGGGTCATCATGTCCACCACATGGACAGTCTTGTCACAAGCCTTGCATTTATCCAAAGTTCCAGTGAAAGACATTTTTATTTTTCTTTATATTCTTCTTCTTTCTTTGTTTCCTTTTTGTGTCTTGCTTGCTTGTGTTTTTTGATTTTGTTCTAGTGCGGGTTTTCCCTGTAACCCAATAAGTCTGAGTTTCAGAAATAAGATTATTGAATGAAATCAAGAGAGACCCCCCAGACAAAGTCTAAGAATATGTGTGAAGCCAAAGCGATTTTATATCAGATTGAATAGACAAATACGGGAAGCTCGTGTTTGAATATGTGGATGATATCCCATTCATTTCAGCGAAACAAGGTTGGTGCTACGACCTTTTCAATGTTGCAAATATGGGATGCACTATTTCTAAATGCCTTTGACTTCTACTACGTACGTTACTCGGTCATATATATATATATATATATAGTAAAGCATCTTCCCACAACCAGCTTGAGATTTGAAGAGGAGCTAAAGTTGGGTTGCACAACCTTAAACAAATGATCGTACATATGCACATGTACTTCATCCATCTTATTTATAAAGCAATTTTAATTTGTTTTGTCGGAATTAAAAAAAATTTTAAAAATCAATAACTCTTTCTAAATACTTAGTAAGTTTTTTAACTTTGTTCTTATTTAATATACACACTTTATTAATGTATTTTCTCTTACCAATATTTACCCTTCTTTTGGATTGAAGAAAATAGCTAGGAATGAAAGAAAATTAGGAGAGAAAACTCTTAAAAATAGTAAAAAAAGTATAATTTTTGGAAATTTCTCCTTTTAGATGTTTCTCATCCCTGTGTTCTTTCCACATTTTCCTTCATCTTAATGGAGTGAAAGAAAAAATTGTGATAAAAATTAACGACATTTCTATAAGTAAAATTAAAAAAATCATTCCATCTACTTTATAAACAGAACCAAATGAAAAATAACTTAAATCTTGATGGCTTCTTTTATGTCAACTTGCTCTCCCTCTCTCTCCAATATTATAATTTGTTGATGCTAGCATTTATATACTCTTCTTCCTTTCTCTCACATGCTTGAGCCTGGATTTGACTGAAATAATCCCTTTTTAGAATTGACTTTATCCTCTCAAAATATTGCAAAACCTACCAAACCCACAACAATTATTACTGACAAACCTTGCCCAAAAATACATAAAAAAACTCTTTCAACTAAACCTAAAAAGCTTCATAGATTGGGGCATGGTGGACAGACAAGTTATAAATATGAAAAATAATAAAGTTGGAGGAGGGAGGGTTAGTTGCGCCCCTGTCCTCCCATGTTTACCAGCACAATCATCTCATTTTAATCGGTGTTTGTTATGAGGTCATGCTTTAATCAAATTACAAAACATCTTGACACCACTTTCCGCACTGCTTTTATCATTTCACCCTCCCTATCATAATTATCTAAAGAGCATCCTAACAATGCCCGGAAACTTTGTCTAATTTTATATTAAGTATTTTAACTTTGAAAAAAATCTATTGTTATATACTTATTTGTAATATACTTAAATTTAAATTTAAATTGTAATAAGAACTATACATACATACATGTGTGTGTGTGTGTTAAAATTAGTTCATGCATGCTTCCAGTTATAATTAAAATACATAAAATAAAATTGCAACATTTATTTAGTTCTTTTCATTTTACTCACCGTTGGTTTGTTTTTTTATTTTAAATAATTAAAATTGATATGATTTCACAAAATTTTGTAATTTATTGCAAAAGGAAAGAAAGAGAAGAAAAAGAAAAGGCAAGATGAATCCGTTGCATAGGATTAATTGGATAAGCAAAGTAAGAGAGGGAGAGAGAAGGAAGCAACGAATATATATATATATATATATATGGGAGTTTGAAAAAGGAAGATAATAGTTAGTGTCCATTACCTCCCTTCCAAATTATAAATTTATAATTATTTTAATTTTCTTAAAGGATAATATAAAAAAAACATTATTTAAAAACTTTATTTTTATCAAATTATTTTATATTTTGAGACAATAAAATATTTTTAATGTTGTTTTATAATTTAAAATGGAGAGAGAGAGACAGGGGTGGGAAGGCATTGAATAATGAATACAATGGATGACGAGATTCACATGCATGCATGGATGAATATGTAGCTGCACACCACAATGACTGAAGGCAATCATGTCGGATGAAGGACACATATGTTGAACAGCTGGGTAGGCGGTGTCATTTAATTAAGACAACCAACGCACAGACTACAGATACGGCAGTAATAAATGAAGTGCATCCATATGAAATACAGTAGATAATGAGAATCAAGGCACAAAATTGGACAAAGATAAAATGGGCGGCGGGGTTAATTTAATTTCCCAGATGAATTAGTATTTACCCGCGCGGACATAATCATATATATGTCAGATGTCGCTTGCTGGCGCCTCGGACTGTTTCACTCAATCAACTACTCATCCATTATCAAAGGATGCTAATTGAGCTTTTTGCTTGGGATGACCAACGCCAGCCAAACTATTGCAAGGTTGGAATCAGATGCTGAACTCGTTTCGTATGTCCACCACTGCAACAGCTTAACTCACCCAATGCGCAGTCGGGTCTCGATCATTAGAGGAATTAAAAAGCAGCTTCAGCAGAATTGGCATCTTGGTGTTCACCACCCCCTGGAAGATGATGCTTTGGGGCACTTATTCCTGTTAATATAGCTTGCCGTTCGGCTCTGATCTTGTATCCCACAAGATGAGATAGGGATAAATTTTGTGGTTACCGGCAACCAATACTTGTGGTGGGACCTCCTAGCAAAAGAGACCATTGTAATTTAAAGAAAATTATGTATAAATCTCATAGATCATACTTATTTACAAGAATGTCTCACAAAATTTTTAAAATTAGAGTAATTATTTAATATTACCCTTATTTGTAATGCATAATTGTATTAATTATTAAATATGTGAAATTAAAATTGCCATAAAAAGTAGAAGTTATAATAGTAAATTGTTAATGAAGTAATTCAAAATAATTAGTGTTAAACTTTATTTGTAATACATGATCAATTTAACTATTAAATATGTGAAATTATAATTATAAAATATTAAAATGATAGTCATAAATTACTGATGAGGTAGTATTGTAAACAATTAGTGATAAACTTTATTAGCAACGCATGATCGGTTTAACTATGAGATATGAGAAATTTTAGCTATAAAATGTTGAAGTGATAATTGTAAATCACTAATAAATTAATTTTATATAATTAATATTAAACATGTAATGTATGATCATTTTAACTGTTAAATATATGAAATTAATTACAATTGTGATAAAAAGTTAAAATGATAGTTATAATTTACTGATAAAATAATTATAAATTATTTAATTAATTTAATATTTTTTAATAAGAGCATTATTATCTTTTCATCTTAATTTCAAACTATACTCATATTTCAAGAGACCTAACTATTATTTTTAAATTTTATGGAATTTATTTATAAATAAATTTATTCTGCAAGAGTTGTACGTAATTTTCTCTATAATTTATAATTAGAGCCAGTAATTTAAGCTAAGCACGACTGGCCAACCCAAATTTACCTAAAAAATAATAACTTTTTAATGTCCTGACCTATTTGAGTTGCTCGAGTAGGCCCATGAAAATTCAGACTAAGCCTGATTAGGCGCAGCCTTAGCCCGAATACCCAAAAAACATAATTTTTAAAAAACATGTAAAATATAATTAATATTAATTAATTCTTTAACTTTTATGTAATTTTATATTAAAATACCATATATTTGAGTGCATTACTATATTTATTTTTAAAAATTAAAAATATTTGTATTTTCATCTTTTTATTATTTTTAATAAGTAAAAAACCTCAAAATAATATTTAAAATATATTTTAATATTAATTTTATATTTTAAGATCCATTTTTTTAAAAAAAGTTTTGAGTCCTATACATTATTTATGTATTCAAAAAGATATATTTTATATTTTTTATAAAATAAGATAATTAATTTAAAGTAAAAATAAAATTAAAATATTTTTAAAAATAAAATTCATGTACAAATTCTCAAATTTAGTACTAAATAAACATAATAAATAGAATAATATTTTAAGTAATTATTTGGTTATTGTTCATGCTAGACTTGGTTCAAAATAAAGAATAAACTAGAATAAATGCCCTTTGTAAATTGGGGTTAAATAATATAAAAAGTCAAAGAAAAAATAATTTTAAAAAATAATATTTTACTCATAATTATATGATTTTATTTTATATAATATAATGATGGATATTTTTCTCTTATTCTTAAAAATAAAAAATATAATTTATCTAAAAGTTATTAAAAATTTTAAACTAATCAGAACAATAATTTTAAGTTAGTAGTTTAACCGTGATTGAATTGAGATCAATTTAATCATAATTAAAATATATAAAAGATTTATATATAGTGGGATAAGACTTGTTGTTGTTGCATCTAAAAGATTTATATATGACCATGATAAGAGCAATATTTAAACAACTAAAACATTAATTTACACATAAAGAAAATATTTATAAATAAATTTTACATAATCCAATAAAGCAGTAACAGAGTTATTTAAATATAAAGTTGATAAGTTATTATTTTCTAAAAAAATAAAATAATATTTTATGCTTAACAAATTATTTAAAAATTAAAATTGATTCAAAAATTTAAAAATATTTTTAAAAAGTTTCGGGTATTTGAGCTAATTTGAATAAACCTAAAAGTTTGAAAGTATTAAGATTGAGTTTAGTTATGAGCTTTTTAAAAAGGATATAATACTTTAAATTTAATTTAAATAAATTTAATTTGAATTGAATGTAACTCGAGTAAATTCAGCCCGTCTGAATTTCAAGCTCAATGTATAATTATCATGCACGTGAAGCGCCACGTCCGGTGCCTTGTTCCTAAAATACGACGTGCGCTGCCAAATTCAATAATTAAGCAACGAATACGTGGCACTCTCCTTCGTCCATTACCTGTATTACCTGTCGGCAATCACCAGAAATCATTCCCTACATCCGCACCCACCTTTCGTCCCTACACCTCTGTCGGAACAATGGAATGAGATAAAGTGAAGGAGTATAAAAAAGGAAGATCAAGGGCTGCCAAGGAGGGTTACACATTCGTTACGCGGGATGTCCGCCGCGAGGAGGGAGTGAGTAACGATGAATTCATAAAAGCTGCTTAGCTGTATAAGAGGCCCACCCCCACCTTCTCCAGCCCTATCGTTGCGACTCTCATCACAAGTCACAACACCGCCTTGTTTCTGTCGTCCCACTCCAATTCAAATCCATGGCCGACCTCCAAACTAAGCCCGAACCCGCCTCTGCTTCCCTCGATGCCAAGCCCCTCGGCCCCCCTCTCGCCGAGGTTCCGCCGCCCGACGTCGCCGTTGATTCCAAGACTCTTGCCGTTGTTCCCAGTGAGTTCTCTTCCTCTTCCTCTTCCTCGTTGCTTCTCACTTCTCACTGTTCACTAAAATGATTTCAATTAATTATTCATTTTCTCTCCGAGGCTGATCTTCGTAGCTCTGATCCACTATCGTTCTGAATATCTGATACTTGATGGATCTGTTGTGCTTATTATGATTTTCTCCACATCACAAAACCATTGTCATTGATTTTGGTTTGCTGTAGTTGGCTCTATCATCAATTATTCATTATTTTAATGCTAATGGAAATCCAGCTCACTCTTTCTTTTGGGTTAAAGAGTATTCCTCCAGTCTCATCTTTTAAAAGGAATTAATTATACGTTTTATACCTCACTTTGCATTAAAAAAATTTTTGTCATTAATTATTTTATTCTAATTTTATCATTTCTGTTTTTATATATATAAGTAGAGTAGAAGATTAAATAGGAGAAATAAATTATTTTTAAAGTGATGAATTTAACGAGAGTAAATTGTGATATTTTCTCAGAGAATAATTTAACTCTCTCTCGTTTCTTTTAAAAAGTGACTTGTATACAACAATGAAGTAAGTGCTGCCTTCACATATTATCCTGTTATTTTTATATCACAAATAATTTGATTGAATAGAAATCTAAACAAATTTTTTGACTTAGCAGCAATTATATGACCAACTTTCTTCTCAGAGAGACAATTTCTCTCCTTTCCAACAAAGAAATTTATATTAGGATAAATTTTTAAGTAGAGTGAACCACATCATTTTTGTTTTGTCCAATAAAAATGATATTTATTAAATGGTATTGAACATAAATTAATTTTGATATTAACAATAATATAAAAAGAAAAGATAAAAAATTAAATTTATATTCTGTTATAAAAATAAAATCAATTAAAAAAATATTATATAAAATTTTATTTATACTATTGAAGCATTTTAATTGGACAAATTATAAATAATATAGCACTTAATCTATTTAAGTATTTTTCTTATATTAGTCCGATGGGACCTCAAAATTTAATTCTGTTCCCCACGTTGCGAAAGTCTTTTGTCACTCTGTCTAATGTTGCTTTAATTTACAGGAAAAGTTCTAAACTTTCTTTAGGGCTGGCTGATTCTATCTTTAATATATGCAAGCTGGATTGTGCGCATCTTAATTATTCGATTATATATTTACTTTGTTCTTTAAGATTATTTTATTTTCAAGTGGACTCCTTTCTTCCTCGTGTTGGCAGCTATGCCTCAGTCACTTAAATATTCATCGATATCCCGCTTTATTTTATTTCTTTTCCACGTTTCTCTGATGTATTACTTGTGTGGGAATGTTAATTATTTCAATATTTATTGATTTAAGTTTTCTAATTTAAATCTAATCGTTATAGGTTCTGGCGTTTTCGCTTATTTTGGATGTATTGTAGGAAATTTAGTTGCATAAGATCTATGGCCCCCACTCTTTAGTCGTTAAGTTTTTTTTTTTTTTTGAATGCTGTGTTATGTATCCTATAACCTTGATGTGGTTAATTCATTCAGTACTACACTTGCTAGACCTGCTGAAATTCTTTCCCAAATTTTTTTTTTGGGGGGGGGGGGGACCGTGTAGGGAGACACACTGGAAAAAGAATTCTCCCTATTTTTGGATTGTTGGACATACACTATTGTCTTTTTATGATTCTAGACTTTTAGGGATTGAACAACATCATTCATCATCTTCCATAAAAACTAGTATTTCCTTTTCTCTCGTTGCTGCATTGTTACACTTCAGTTGGTTGGACTAGTATAAATTAACTTGCAAGGGTTCTTATTTGAGATGTAATATAAAATGCATGCTTCTCTAATTGATGTATATAACTCACTTGTCATGACTTCTGCTTTTCAGGGCCGGCAGAACCTGCAAAGAAGCAAGGAGGATCCATTGACAGGGGTTAGTTTTAAATTTTTCTGATCTTTCAGGTTATGTCACACTGTCGTTCTTACCAGAATCGGATCCTTGTTCATATTGCATCTCTTGATCATGAGCAAATTCCACATATTGTTGGGAATCTTTTTTTAGAAAAGAGAGCAAGAATTTGTAACTGCTTGGATGACTCAATTTGTAAGCTATCCAATGAAGTTTCTATATGTTCTAGTCCATGGACAGATAGCAAATTCATGCATAGATTTTTATTATCAAATATCCTTATCTCTCCCTTCGTCGTACTACTAACCTTGATTTCAAACCTCCTTCTCATTGGAGTTATAGTCCAAGAAAGCACAGATACACCGATTTTGGCGGTGTATCCGATACGTATCGGACACGGACACTCGCTCCGTGCGAGTACGTCCGTGTCCGACACGTTTTTTTTTTTTGGGCGACACGGCTAGACACGGCGGGATACGGCTTTGACGCGGCGGACACGGCTGCTACGCGGGACGCTGCATTTTGCGTAAAAAATTTGACTAAATCCTTAATTCGCAAACCATTCAGCAGTTCGAACGTTTTCGGATCCTGCAATCTCTCCCCAGTCTCGTTCGTCGCTCTCATCCCTGTCCGTGCTTTCTTGTTTGTGCCGTCGTGAACCCATCCATTCTCAACTCGCAAGTCGCGTCTTGTTCTGTCTTCTGTGGTTGCTCAGCTCGTCGGTCCAGTCGAGGTTCTCGACTTCTCGTCCTTCACTCGCCTCGTCTTCTCTCTTCTCTGCCTTCTTGAGTTTTGTTTCAATATCTCACTCGTCTTCTCTGCCAGCTGTGGTAGCATGAAACTGAAGCATATTTATTATTTTATTATGTTGTTGCTTTTTTTAAAAGTTTGATTATTATTTATATTATCCATTTAATATCTTGCTCTCCATATGCACAGAACCTGTTGCTCTCTGTTTATTTTAAACTTAGTTTGAGTATAATTCTCAATGGTTCTGGTCCTGTCTTATTTTAATTTATGTCTTTTTTTAATTAGATATGGCTGTAACTAATAATTTTGAGGGAAGTATTAATTCAATAGTTTGTATTTGGTTGAATTGTTTGCATTTTTAATAGTTGAATTATTATTTATATTTATATAAAAATTTTTATATATCCCTGTACCTGTATCCTAAAATTTTTAAAATTTGCCGTATTGCCGTATCATGCCGTATTGTATCCGATACTCGTACCCATATCTGTGCAACCTAGATTATAACTTACCCGAAATTTTTGAAGTGTTTCTTGTCACGTTATTCAAACAAAACACAGCATTTAGACGTAATTTCAAGCACACAGCTGTTCATTGACTCTTTAGGACATAATTAAATTAATGGACTATTAGCAAAGACCTATAAAATGCATGTATGTTGGTCGGTTCTGAATATCATGTTTGAAGTTATTGTTTGCTTGTCGGTTTCACGTTTCAATGGGACGCATATATCTTCTTTAGCAAGAAGCTCATGTGGTTTCTATATGTTGTACAGATATTGCTCTAGCAGAAGTGGAGAAAGATAAAAGGTTGTCCTACATCAAGGCATGGGAAGAAAGTGAGAAAACCAAAGCAGAGAACAAGTAAGAACTTTTATTTCTTCAGTACTTGTGCTTTGTTTGATATGAGCCTATTTTCTGAGATATGGTTGATCTAAAAGCCGCAACAGATGAATGCCAATACTTATTTATTTTGCTACTGTCTCACAAGACTGAAATTTGATTCTTCAAATGCCAAAAACGAAAGTCCCTGCGAAACAAGACAGAAATGGTCTTTTTGCAGATTTCACATATTCTTTGACAAAGTTTACTTCTATGATCATGTCTTGATCTGTCTTGATAACCGAGTTAAAAAGAGACATTGTGATTTGTAAACAGAGCCCAAAAGAAGCTTTCTACTGTAGCCGCATGGGAAAATAGCAAGAAAGCAGCAATCGAAGCTAAGCTGAAAAAAATTGAGGTAATACTTACCCTGTCGCTCACTGATTCACTATTGTTTTAGATCTGAAAGTGAGAAAGCATTCATGGAGTTTCACTTCAAAGCATATTCTTGTGATGGTATCGAAGGTTTTTTTTTTTTTTTGTTTAATTATTGAAAATGAAAATGTGCATGAGCAGGAAGAACTGGAGAGAAAGAAAGCAGAATATGGGGAGCAAATGAAGAACAAGATAGCGTTAGTTCACAAGGAAGCAGAAGAGAAGAGGGCAGTGGTTGAAGCCAAGCGGGGCGAAGAAATTCTCAAAGCAGAGGAATTTGCTGCCAAGTACCGCGCAACTGGAACCACTCCAAAGAAGCTCCTTGGCTGCTTTTGATTCCTTTTTCCTCTTCCACTTTTGTCTGTGGTTTGATATTTTATAGTAATAAATGGTAATTTTGAATTTTGTGCATATGTTTTTTGGGGCTTTAATTTGTTCTTGAAGTTGTTTTATGTGTGTAACAAAAATACAAGGTTCTTGTTTGTACCATCCGCCTCATATAGTGTTCTTTAATGGATTTTTACACAACACAAATCCTCTACTCATGTTATGGCATGGCTGTCTTTTCTTCTCTTTCTCGTCTCTCCTGTTTTGTCCGCTTCGCAAGTCTTCCGCTATAAGCAAGTCACAACTGCCAACTGGCCTGGTTTTACAATCTTCCGAAACACGTACGCTTTTCATATTTCATGTATCGCTAATCTCAATTTCATCGTATAAAAACTGTTTAATTTAAAATAATCTCCATAGTTAAACCTATTGATATATAGTTGATAGTTAATCCAACAGATGACCATCACCAAAGAGGCCAGTTAAAGGTCACGCGAGCACTTCTTTAAAGTTCTAAATTTTTAAAGCAGAGTTTTGGAACAAACTAAGCCAGGTTATCTGTCATTTTGGAACGTTCGTTGCAAGCTACTCTATAAGTTATGGCAGACAAGTGCTATCACTACAAGTTAACATCTCGAAATGATTTTCTTTCTTGTTATCATTTTTTGTCCAACTCACAGAAACGAACTCGTTCCCAGGAAACGCTGCAAGCTAGACAGTACCTTTTTTTTTTTTTTTTCACTCCAACATTTATGTATAATTTTTTTTTTTAAATTCTAGTAACCAATGTTGGGGTACCATACAAGAAAGAGAAAATAGCAACCAAGGATCTCAATAACAAATTAATGCCAAGGACCATTTGATTTTAAAATTGAAATACAATCTCTTGACCCTTGTTGATATTAATTTGTGAGGTCAAAAGATCAAATTGTCTCTAAAAGGAGGGAAAAAAGCCACTCCCCATTGTTACTAGCAACGTCCGTCAGCAAAACCGTTGAGCCCCTACCACCAGCAAGGTTGCTAGTAGCCACCCACCACCTAAAAACTTTAGTAGCCACTAGGCCACCAAGCTCTTTAATTATATATGCAAAAAAAATATAAGTAATAAATCAATGTTTTATCTACTTTCATATTATAACATAACTGTGTGTTGTACTCATTAATCTAATATGGACAATACAAATTGAAAGTTGTAAGATCTTCAGGTTAGACCAGTAAGATTACCTTTACTAATCCTCCCTAAACTCCAAACATCAATGTAATTATCAGATATATCAATTTACACAAATAAGATCTTAAGTTTTTAAAGTTTTTTCAAAATTAACAACTCATCTTTGCAAGTATAAATCAAAATTAAATTAATATGTGGAAGCATGGGACCTCTATAAGGGTCAAAACACTTGCATAAAAGTGAAAACAGTCATTCAATGCAATAGAAGGGCATGCATTGCGGCCTGTGTATCTCTGTACCATGCACTGTGACTTAGGCATTAGAACCAATAATTTGGGCAAAGCCCAATGAGCTAGCACGAATCTACTCAAAAAATTTAGGGTCAAACCTAAAAAAATATTAATTTTAATGTTTGGGCTTATTCGAGTTACCCAAATACCCAAATAAAAAATAATTTTTTAAATATATATATATATAATAAATATTAATTAGTTTTTTAAGTTTGATGTCATTTTATACTAAAGTACTATACATATTTGAGGACACTATCATAGTTATTTAAAAAAAATAAAAATATTTATATTTTTATTATTTTTACTAAATAAAATATCTCAAAATAATATTTAAAATATATTTTAATATTAATTTTTATAATTTAAGACTCAATTTTTTAAAAAAAAAGTTTTGAGTCCTATACATTATTTGTGTATCCAAAAAAATATATTATATATCTTTTTATTAAATAAGATAATTAATTTTAAAGTAAAAAATAATTTTAAAAATAAAATTTGGGCATGTATAAATTTTTACCTTACTGCTAGATAAATATAATAAATAGAATAATATTTTAAAAAAAATTATTTAGTTATCGCCCATATTATACTTGGTTAAAAATTAATAATAAATTAGAGTAAAAACTCTTTGTATGTAAGGGTTAAACAATGTAAAAAGTTAAAGAAAAAATAATTTCAAAAAAATAGTATTTTACTCATAATTACATAATTTTATTTTATATAATATAATGATGGCTATTTTTTTCATATTATTAAAAATAAAAAGTACAATTTATCCAAAATTTATTAAAAATTTTAAATTAATCAGGGCAATAATTTTAAGTTAGTGGTTTAACCGTAACTGAATTGAGGTAAACTTGATCATAATTAAAATAATATAATTTAATTAAAATATATAAAATATTTATATATAACCATGATAAGAGTAATATTTAAACAACTAATATATTAATTTAAAAGTAAAGGAAACATTTATAAATAAATTACATATAATGCAATAAAATAATAACGGAGTTACTTAAGTACAAAGTTGATAAGTTATTATTTTTTATTTTATTCTTTTAAAGTTAAAATAATATTTTATGCTTAACATAATTATTTAAAAATTAAAATTGATTTAAAAAATAAAGAAAAATATTTTTAAAAAGTTTTCGATATTCAAGCCAGCCTAAATAAGTCTGAAACCCAAAGTTATTAAGGTTAGATTTAGTTATACGAGCTTTTGAAAAGTGTTAGGATATTTTAAGCTCAATTCGAATAAGCCTAACCTGAATTAAGCCCGACCTGAATAAGCTTGACCCGCTCAAATCACTGGCTTTATCAAGCATCATGCACTGCGACGCCTTGCAAAATTTTGACAACAAATGGGGTGAACTTCTTATGTACATTTCTCAGTTCGACGTCCGATTAAGGTGATCTAGGTCTCTATAGAGAGCTTTTTCCTACCTCTAGTTAATGACTTTAGTTTCAAAATCAAATTATCTCTTAGTCAAAAGTTGAACACTCATTTCAAAATTCACCCTTTTTCACAATTTACACATAACTTGAGTGTCTAAATCTCATACCAAAAGCTAAAGGCTGCAAACACCACCCAAATCACACTCAATGGATTGAAATAAACCTATACAATATGTAACACCCTCAAATTTACAAATCAATTTTTTGCAAATTATTAATTTAATAAATTATTTTTTTTATTGAACCCTTATCATACCCTTATCATGGTAGAAAAATTTCTACCATGGTACATCCAAGACAATATACCACAGGTCTTAAAATATCTCAAAAAGCAATTAGAACTATGAGGGACAGACAGAATCCTCATGGCATGATATTTAAATTAGGTCATGAATCAAGAGGGACAAACATAATCCTCTTGGTCATATAAATGCATTTAATAAAAAGGATTAGAGCTTACATGTTGTCAAAATAAGAAATGTCCTAGGTTGGCACAAGATACATTGCATAATACAAAATGAGAGGCAACGTAAAAGATGATGTCTCATACACCAAAGTTATGCCTCTGGTGCTTTCTCGGCCGGATTCGCTCCTGTAAAAATGTTAACCACGGGGAATGAGACTTAAAAGTCCCAGTAACCAAAAATTAATATGTAATGATGCATGCGGATGTAACTAATCATGCGATTGCTAAGTAGGCACACAAAACATTTAATCGAATAATATTTTCAAACAAACCGAACAAGTACTTAATTGCATGACTACACCTTATATCCTCCTTTTGCCATGCTCGGATGCCAAATCACCGGCCAAAGGTGAGTTGGACCAAGTGACACGCCACTCATTGGGTCCAATGAGGGCTTACTACGTGGTAATAATTAACCGAACAGAAATTTCCATTAACACCATACATTAAAATACCCTGACAAGTCATGCATCATTCAAATATCCAAGCAGAAATATATTCGAACAATAATATCTCATCATGATAAACAAAAATAAATTTTAACCCACTTGGCAATAATTTCAAACAAGTATATACAGTATTTATTTTCAATAATTCATAATTTTTTCAAACAATAAAACAAATCATAATCATTCACAAACACACCCATCACAACACATTAATAATGGTTACCTTGTGTCTTGAATAACAAGTTTCCCTTCACAACTCCTCTTTCACCACTATCTTTGTCAACACAATCTACATAGTTATTTCGTAATACTATATATTAATTTTATATTAAAATAAACAACTCTAATTTAAAGAGTTAGAAAGTCTTAGATCTATAATCCATATTAACACTAATTTAAGATTTATGCCTCATTTAACTTCCCAAATTCTTTTCTAAAATTCTCGTACCCTAATAAACTATTTTTAAGCCTCAAATCACTTCTAGTATCACAATTTCATCCTTCTATATTCTAAAAATTCGTTCAAAAATAAATTAAAAATTTTAGAATTATCCTGAAGCCTCAAATCACCTTTCTATAACCTCAAAAATATATATTCATACTTAAATAAATATTTAATAATCAGAAGTTCATCCCTACATCTCAGATTCAACATAAATTCAATCCTATAGATCTAGAGTTTAACTCAAAACTTTTTAAACATGAGTTTCAACCTCAAGAAAATATTTTATAATATTTATTATATTCCTAAGAGCTTTAACCTATATTTTTAATCCATCATATCATCAGATTAACTATCCTATAAAAAAATTTTAATCAGAATATTTACTCTATTCTATAAAATAATCATATCACTAAAAAGTTAATATTATTTAGAAAATAATTATAAAATTAATTTTGTACTTAAATAATTTTTTAAATGCTAATCTAAACAAGAAAGTTGGAACATACCTGAAGAAAAAGAAAATAATTCTCCCTTGCGAGAAGACGTCGAGCAACGTGAGAGGAGAGAGAAAAATAATATAAAAATGAGATTTTAGGTCCCACAATTATATTAAAAAAAACTATAGGTCTGAATTTAATTATTCAAACTTTTGGCCTATTACTTGCAATTCTCACAAATTGCACCTTGGGCCATTAATTACAATTTTTACTAATTACAAAAATATTTCTTTTTGCTTCCTTCTGCGTCTCCTCGCCTGTGCCTCCTCCTTTTGTATGTGAGAATGCACCTCACCTTCCCCCATCTAATCGATGTGGGACTTCTACAGTGCTCCCTTATTTTTTCTTTTCTTTTTTTTTAACTCACACACACACATAATTTTTTATTTTAAATCTTAAAATTATATCTTAATAAAATATTTCTTATA